AACAGTGTGCTGTGTGCCGGCTGGTGGTGATGGTGGTCTTTTTCAGCATGTATTCGTGCTGCTTCTTGTGCTGGAACACTTCTCGCCCAGGAAGGCAGATTGCGTGCTCCCTGGCCCTCAGTTGGCAATGGGGCATTTGTTCCAGGAACATTACCCCAGAGCCAATGATGAGTCGTACCTTTGACAAGTCGAAGCTTGCTGTTAATCGCAAGCGTAGCGCAGTGGATTGCTCCCTCTTCGAAGCACGAGGGCCAAAGCTTGCCGCTGTCTGCAGCAAAGTGTGTGTGCGGTTCTTTCGAACCTATGAATACACCCTGCATGTTCAGAGTGAACTATTTTCTAGTATATTTAACATCCTCAACCCGCCACCACCATGCGCTCTTGGCCGAACTTATGCACGAAGCATAAACACACCAGCACAGCAAGGACACTTCCGTTGACAGATAGTGTTTACGCCTCTAGACCGCTGTTTCTTTTCTTCGAGCTCATCGTTAGAGGAGGATAGTAGCAGGATACTAATGATGATATAATATAAGATGATAGACGGTTTATGGTCCGATATTGATGATTGAAGATCTAAGAAAGCAATGACAGTGATTGCGAAATGGATAATATTATCATGATTATATGCCAGTCTGGTAATGCGTTGTACTAGTGGACAGTATTGAAATCATCACTGCATTCGATGCAAATATTGGTATACCTTTGGTTTCAGTATTGGAAAAAAAGAGAAAGAGAACCTGGTTGATTTGGTTGCATCTGCGACTGGCTACCGGGTGTTGTGATCAGCAATGTTACCATGGGAGAAAGTAAGAGCGCACGGATCTGTTGGGTCTTGTTGTGCCGGTGCGAGAACCCTAAGTGCATGGCAAAATAGAACTGTTTCATCCACAATGCAGAATGTCTTGCGGTACATGGCATTGATGACTGAACATCTCGCCCAAATGGGGATCATGCCCAAACGGAGGAACAAGACATCTTTCCAGCTCAGCTAGCTATATAGTATATACCGTGAAACGGATGATTAACTTGTGCCACGCATGACAGCTTCTGTTCCATTCGGCCCAGGCTTAGACACATCAATGCCAATAGCAGCTGATCCTCCATTACATGCTCATTGGCGATTTACGGCCACCTCCAACTGTATCCGCCGTCCCTCAGCTTCCGTCTTCGCAGATCTGGCTCAGCGCAGTACATTTTCTCGGCTAAGCTCAAAGAAGTTCCACAGAGCGGTCCAAACACCTGAAGGCAAACCAGTCAGAAACTGGAGCGGCTCAGAGTCTTTCTTTATGTTATTGTACGTAAGCTGTTTTTCGGCTTTCTTCACCCCATCGTCCAACTGCTCCACGAGACTCTGTACACGAGCTCTACTTGCTGCCAACTCCTGATGCAGATGCTGCACTTCCATTACAGGACCAAACTGCACTAAGCCAGGTTCCTTTCCAACTCAAAATGCCGTTGCCTCTCAGCAAAATACTGGTTTGCGAGCATGGGGAGCTCGTGATGCATACGCTGCACTTCCATGACCAAACTGCACTAGGCTCAGCAAATACTGTTTTGCGAACATGGGGAGCAGAGCGCCCAGACTCCACTCTCTTGCGAAAAGCAAACCTGGTACCGTAGGACAGCTGTTTGGCTTCCTGGACTCATCCTGCCCTTGTAGAGCTGGGCAAAACGATTTCGACTTCGGGATCGAAATGATCGCTGCAACTCAAATATTCAGAGTGACCCTAAAACTACGTCCTTCCTCAGTCACGGGGAATAGCCTGGATCCGCTTGCTCCAGGCCGCTGTGGCTCCACACGAGGAAAGGAGTGAAATAACTTGTTTGCTTCGTCCTCCTGTTCTGACAGTGAGGAACGCAGCAATGATCCTGAGAAGGCATCCTGAAGTCGTAGGAAGATCTAAACAAAAACAAAACAGCTCAAATCAAAAGTCCTTGTGGCATTTTTTGTAGACAGGCTTTCACTGCGTGTGCGTGTAGATTTCGCGTGCTCTGCACTTCGTATGCGAGAAGTCACGGACAGCCGAGGTGAGGTTGGTCGCGTGTGTGCAGCAGGATCCCACGCGACTGCGGAGTTGCCCCCTTGCTCGAACCCAGACAATAATAAGGGGATCGGTCTATTGCAGTCAAATGGTTGTGAATGAAACGAGATTTGTGGAAAATGACGCCACTTCCCGTGTTAGCCGCTGGTCGTATCATACAGCCCATATTCCATTGCAGGTGATGGGCGAACGTTCGTGTTGAGATCCGCTGAGCTTCCTCGTACTCGTGGAGTTGAATTTGTGGCAGAAATTGCACTGAATTGCAGTCAAATGGTTGTGAATGAAACGAGATTTGTGGAAAATGACGCCACTTCCCGTGTTAGCCGCTGGTCGTATCATACAGCCCATATTCCATTGCAGGTGATGGGCGAACGTTCGTGTTGAGATCCGCTGAGCTTCCTCGTACTCGTGGAGTTGAATTTGCGGCAGAAATTGCACTGAATTGCAGTCAAATGGTTGTGAATGAAACGAGATTTGTGGAAAATGACGCCACTTCCCGTGTTAGCCGCTGGTCGTATCATACAGCCCGTATTCCATTGCAGGTGATGGGCGAAAGTTCTTGTGGAGATCCGCTGAGCTTCCTCGGCGTACTCGTGGATTTATGAATTTGTGTCAGAAATTGCAGTCGAGTGGACTTCTGTGCGTGTATTGTGAGTGAATCGCAACGGCTCCCTTCCTTCAGCATCGTCAAAACGCAACATAGAGCATTATTACGCACTCGTTCCATGATTCATGATATTGCCTGGATTCTTTTAAAAACAATCAATGTGTGTTCCCTATCTATCTACATTGTACATGGTTGCAGGTCGTTATTTATAAATCTTGATAATTTCAACACTTTTCTACTCGTATACTGACTTGAGCCGTTTAGGAAACGGAAGTCTTGGCGACTGTACAAAAGGTAAACCTATCATTTGTACTTCATAACGGAATTGTGCACAAAAATGCACACGCACGTGCGCGCGCACACACACAAACACTGTACAAACACACACAAAAGTATAAGCACATGTGCACATACACACGCCTCCCCCCCCCCCCCCCCCCCACACACACACACATTCAAATCCTCACCCCCTGTACCATGTGTACTGAGTCTGACAGACAGACACACAATCATGTTTATGCTTCCTTCGCCACCAGTTTCGGATTATGGTGTCAACAACGAGTTGTAAAATATTGGTATTTTAGGACTCTCTGCCCTGAAGACGAGCACAGCGCCGTGGATCGAGCAGATCCGGCCGCGCCGGCCTAGCGTGCTTCACTTTCTGGCCGAGGCAAACATCGTCCGCGTGCCCGCATCCCGTGTCCTCTCCCGGGCTTTTACGACTCCCTGATACTGACCCATCAAACTCCTCCAAAGCGTCAGACATGATGTACTCCAGGAATACGTTGAACAGACAAGGCGAGAGTAAACAGCCCTGCCTGACACCCACTGACGTGGTGAACCAGTCGGTGATAGTGGATCCAACAACGATGGCAGCTTCAGTAGTAGCGTAATGTCTAGCATAATGTGCTGTTACAATGATTGTACAAGCACACGAGATGTCTGCGCTCACCGGGAGAGCAACGTACAGTCATGTACATGATTCTACTACTTCCTCCCAGTTTCATGCGTTGCTACAACGAGCGCACAGCAGAACGCCGAAACAGTTTTGGTCGGGCTCGTTGACTCGCAGATTTTGCTCAAGATGACAATAGTGAGGTTTTGCATTCCGAATTTCGGTACAGCGTTCTTCGGTCATTTGTCGAACATCAAAATGCCGAATTTTCGCACCAACGTTTGTTTTGCAAGTCGAAAATGATGTGTTTTCATTTCGTGAGCCCCAGCAGCAGCAACGTCCTGTCCCGTGCTCCTTTTCTTGCTGATTCCTACGAACTTTGATCGCCCAAAGAGTCGAGGGCCAAACCTGCCTCCTCAGTCGCCTCAGAAAAACCAACTCCATGGCCAAGTCAAACTTCATGCGTGTCGCCATAGTCTTTTCAGCCACACAGATGACGGTGACCGGTGAGGACACTCCAGGCGAAAGAGAGTAGACAGGCAGTGGAGAGGAGCAATCAGAGGTAGCTGACGATGCTATGTCGCGAAAGACGCCTGCCAAGCGATGCCGAGATAAGAAACCGCTTTGAATAAATCATGCGCTAGCGCGCTCTTCTACAAGAAAATGCATCCGAAAAATATTTTCGACAAAGTGAGCTTTTTCCGAACAAACACGCCGAATCTTCGTGTGCATTTTCGACCTCGCTCCCGCGTGCCGAATCTTTTTGCCGAATTTCGGAATGCAAAACCTCGCTAATATACGACAATTTCGTTCCACTGGAAGTTCCAGGTTGAATGTTTGACCCGGTAGATCGCTTCTCGTCTGAGAACACCTTCAGAGCAATGATGGCAATAGTCATCCGAAACATTGGCAGTACTTTGCCCTGGCCTGTCTTCAACATTGACGCAAAGCGTTTGCCTTGTAGTTCGTTCCGGGGACCCAGGTTAACCGGTTGCCAGAATCGCCCACGATGCAAGCAAAGTACGATCAAGAAATGAACATTTCGAGCACGCCTCGCATTCGCCTCTCGGTCCTTTCGACCCGTTCGTCAGCTAGCTGCGCGTGCGATATGTCAACTTGTTGGAACGTTACGATTTCGAAAACAACACTTCGCGTCGATCTAGGGACTTTTCGCGTCTAACCGGCACCTGCGCGCCAGGCATAGGGCGCGACATGTTTAGTTCTCTACATACAATCAATGGAGTGCTGAATCAGGGAACAGGATAACCACTGTACTGGAAAACCAGACCTGATTGCATCGCGCTGTGTCTCGCTGGCGAGCTGTCAGTGAAGCCTACATCTTGACAGCTCACATGTGCACAAGAAAGTGTACGCGAACAGTCTGCCAGTACAATGCGACGGTCGAAAGTACGCAAACCTGACAAACAGAGCAAAGAAGTACTCCGGCAAATGAATATTCTTCAGCTGCGGGGTACATCAGAGAGTGTACATAATACTCTTGTTTCCCTTCTCTCTCTTTAGTTAGTGATGGATTGAGCTGTGAGGAGGAGTTTAGGGGAAGCAAAGCAATTGGATGAAGTCCTGTCCAGTGAATCCGAAGAAGAGACTCCTACAGTTCAGGTAAGAACGTCATCTTCTTCAGTACCCAAAACATGCACCCAACTCCTTCTACTGCTTAGCGAAATGAATGAGTTCTGCTTCAAACGCCCCTCGAACGTCCACACCACATAGTGCTTCTTACAGACCCACTGGAAAGACAGTTTTCAGAGTTGAACGAATACTTTTGTGGGACTTCTCAGTTCACAAAGCTCGCACACCATCCATTGTTGTAAGCAATGTCCATTGTGACGTGTGTCAATTGAAACAAGCGAAAGTCTTTCGGAGCGGATCTTTCGCCTTTGGTTTCGTTGCCTTAGAGCTGAGTCGGGCTATCCCAGGCGGTCCGTTTGCGATCAGTTAGGTTTCGTTCGTGGCTCTTGCATAATTCCTGCCCATGTCTCTACTTTTCGACAGAGAGAAACACGGCCCAGTGGTAACTCGGACCCAAGAGAAAGACACCGAAACGCACAGGTGCTGACCAATGCATGCCTGTGCGCCTTTCGATGCGACAAGAACCGAAACTGCGAAAGGGACGGCTCCTTCATAAGGGAGCGTTAGTCTTCGCCTACCTTCCTGTGTAAGAGGACAAGAAGAGAGGGCCACTTTCTCCTTCCCGCAAGCAGCCATGGCGACACCAAAGTCCAGGAGACGAGCCAGCACGCTAGCATGGTCACGGCAGGTCTTCTTTATCTTCTTGACCAGCGTCTCGATGAGAGGGCTATGCACACCAGCACCGCAACTTACAGGTGAGTTGGGGTTAGGTGCGGTTCACACGAGGTACAAAACACCGTATATCATGCTTTCAACGTGTTCTTGTACTGTGGTTACCTTGACAACTTTCACCTGTGGCGGGAAAACTCGTATTATGTTTTCAGCAACTCCTGAAGGGGTATAGAAAGCAGGATACACGCTGTTTCTTGCTGACAAAGACTTGGGTTGAGTGGGTAAGTGGGTTGAAAGTGCTTTTTTATTTTCACTTGGTTGTTCGATTGAGTTCAATTATTTTGATACGATGCCTCGCCAGATTTTTTCAGAAGTGTTGGAGTCAAAGCTCATCGACCTAGGCTATGGGCTGCATATCAACAGACGAAGAGTGGCAAGATTTAGAAACGCGCTGTTCGTGAGAAAGAAATTGCCGAGGAGCTGAACAAACTTGCCAAGGAAAACGGCCTTGACTTGGAGGTGACGGCACTCATAGTAGACAGCGTGAAATCAAAAGCCCGGGAAATGTACAAGAAGTACAAGAGATCGACTGCCACGGGCAGCCAAGCTGATCCGGAGTTTGACATGGAGAGCGCGTTCGGAGCCTGGAGTAGTTTTCGCGCCTGGCGCGTGAGTGACTAAACAACAAGTTCAAACGAACAACTACAACTACTGTATCAGCATAAAAAGTGCAGCTAGCTCTGCGGACAACTGTGGCTTCAAGTCCAATCAGTCGTGGGCTGACATGCGATGAAGAACACTATTCAGACGCAAACTAAACTTTGTTCTAAAACATTTTTGAGACGAGACGACGCGTACGTATGGCAGCGAGTTTCTATGGTTTTTGGATCCGCGCGTTTTTTTACGCAACCTTTCACATACGTACACACGGTGTGAACACATGCTGATTATAAGCAGTTTTGTACTGCAATCAGTTATCAACACGCAGTTTGTACCTCGTGTGAACCGCACCTTAGGCAACCCGTGTATACAGAGGCATGATCAGCATCGAAGCCACCCCATAGTTCAACCTAATGCATATTCCCTCTCTGGGTCTATCTATCTGTGTGTCTGTGTGTCTTCCTATCGGTCTGTTTGCCTGTCTCTCTCTCTGTGTCTCTGTCCGTCTTCGGTCTGTTTGTTCTTGCCATCGTCAACTTCAGCATTTCGTATTCATAGGTTTTTCATTTGACCCGACGAGACCACACGACGCTTGCAGATCACAGCACAGCATGAACAGTTCACCAGCCACACTCCACGAAAGCAAGTAGTAGTACTCCTGACAAGTCTTGTCTTCTATTTGACGGACCTATTGAAGATGGCAACAAAGAATTATTTCGTATTCATTAGAGATACCAGAATTCGTACCGGTATACCCGAGCTTGCAGTCTTGATAATTAAATGCCCACTCAAACGATGTGGGACGTCACGAACTCCAGAAAACGAATTGCGCTCTGGGGCGGAATAGTGCGGAGCGCGATGAATTTGCTTGGTGCGGAAGAGAGCTCCGACAAAGTCCGAGACCACCACGGCTTCAGTAACAAGTAGACATTGCGCAGGAAGGGTCGTACCAGTGTTCGAACACAGAAAACAGCGATTCCCACAGTCTGACTAAGACGAGCCAAGTCACAAATATTGCGATGTGCGAAGCGACAATTTTAATGACGTGGAGGAAGTAATTGGCAAGGATGTAATGCTGGCTATCCCCTATATCACTGCACAGCCACACAAAGCGTGTGCATGCCCGATGAAGTTAGCGTCATCAACCGCTAGGACACGTATGCGTTACTCTCAAAAGAGGTGGCCATGGTGGTCGATTCAGTTCATCGCAAGTGTTTCCCTATCGGTATTTCCACACAACTACAGGAAACGTTGCTTTAGAAGCCTATTCTCTGGCATAGAACTAGTTATCGTGCTATTCGTGCATGTACAGTGTAGACTTAGGATAGGGCTAAAGGCAGATGTTAAACTGGCGATATATGGTATCGCTTGCACGTGAAAAGTTTTAAATTTGACTGTAGTGGTATATCCCTGGATATTTTAAAAATTACTTCAAGTAATTGCTTTATTTTGAACAACCTTGCCCCGTGTTTATTGCTCATTATGTAGCATATACTGTAACACGTGTAGTTTTCCTCACTGTTTTTTTCTATTGCATGATTTGCATCAGGAGATCCCCTCGACAGGCCATCGCCTCTGGGAGATCCTTTAATAAAGAGAATTATATATTATGGGAGAGCTGCAGCCCTGGAGGGCGAAGTATTGTCCTTTTTGGCTCTGAATACTGATTGACGTCCTTAGTATCGTGCTGTGCATGCAGGTTACATCAACCTTGTACCAGACTTGGAAGTGTGGACCACCCTTGAAAACAAAGGCCGCAACCTGACCTGTTTTCATTCATCTTCGGTTACCCTGAACGGAAGTAAGCAATCCTATCGATGCTATTGGAATTGGTCGCAGACTCAAACGTAGCCGTCTTCACATAACCTATACGCCATAACGGTATCTCTCTCTCACTCTCTCTTCCTCTCTCTCTCTCTCTCTCTCTCTCTCTCTCTCTCTCTCTCTCTCTCTCTCTCTCTCTCTCTCTCTCTCTCTCTCTCTCTCTCTCTCTCTCTCGAACGGTTCCCTCCCTGCAAACAGCTGACTGAGCATATAACTTGCATATCGATACAAGTCATGTACATGCTGAAGGCCTCTGTACTGTTCTACGACTATCTTTTTTCCTACAACGCCCTGTGTTGTCATAGCTTTTAAAGGGGAAGTTAAGGCAAAAATCAAAATTTCACCAGTTGCAGTCTTCGGGGTGCTGAGTCGAATGGTCTTGGTCCGAGAAAGCTGGGACGCTCTGTTCCTACTTGAATCCCAATCGAACTCGCGCACTTCCACCGAAACTGGGTGACTGCGCCCTACTAGATGGGGATTTGTATGCAAAATGTCACTAAAAGCGCCATTTCGTTCTTATAAAAGCACGGATGACCTCGATTGGCCCATATGTTGTAGTCTTTTGGACGCTGAGTCGACTGGTTTTGGTCCGAAAAGGCTGCGATGCAGCGTTCCTCCTTTATTCCCAATCGAACATGCTTGAAGAAGCGGTCACGTGCTCCTGGGTGCCCAAATCACCTGGTCACCACGCCAGCAGGCGACAACTTTCACACCAAGGTTCAACTCGAGTGACAGGACTGCACCCGAAAAAGGTCAAACAGGCTAGTAAGTTGTACCCTGCACGGGCCTGCAGGCACGGTGACCAGGTGACTGGCGTACGCAGGAGCACGTGACCGCTTCTTCAACCATGTTCGATTGGGAATAAAGGAGGAACGCTGCATCGCAGCCTTTTCGGACCAAAACCAGTCGACTCAGCGTCCAAAAGACTACAACATATGGGCCAATCGCGGTCATCCGTGCTTTTATAAGAACGAAATGACGCTTTTAGTGACATTTTGCATACAAATCCCCATCTAGTAGGGCGCAGTCACCCAGTTTCGGTGGAAGTCCGCGAGTTCGATTGGGATTCAAGTAGGAAGGGAGCGTCTCAGCTTCCTCGGACCACGACCATTCGACTCAGCACCCCGAAGACTACAACTGGTGAAATTTTAATTTTTGCCTTAACTTCCCCTTTAAGCTTTTAGAAGATTGATTTACCTGCATATAATACTGTACATACGGCCATGTTTCGCTGAGTACCAGGCAGATCACTAAGCAGGGACACGGAGTACCAAACCCTGCCCATAGCGGAATTGGACCTGTTACGAATCGCGGAGATGTAGCCCTTGAGCACAACAATGCTGCGATTTCTCGGGCGTGGTACCCGACGCTGATAGCGTACTTAATTGGCTAGTTTTGCAATGGCTAAGTCGCTATTATTTACGAGTTAGGTATGTGAACATAGTAAAAATATTAAATAATAAAAATATATAAAACTGATCGCGAGGTCATTTAGGATTAATGAGGAGAATTGTCGGCTCTCACTGAGGGTTTCACTTGTTACTTCGAGTAGTTGATTTTTGATGTGTCATGCATTTATAATTATTTGCCTCCACAGTACATTGCACAATTTCAAAGAGGGTCGAACAGAAAAACGGAGGGAAGCCAAAGGAAAGATAATGTAGAAAAGAAAAAGGACCAAGGAGCTACAAGTTACTGTAAATATACAAAATTTCGGCACTTCACGATTTTGGACATTTCGGTGGCGATTTATTTTCGGCGTGGGGTATAGAGGGCATGGTATAGTGCGACAGTCAGATGCTGTGAAAAATTTCATCGGCGTTTTAATTTAGGCGTTTTGGGTCGGTGCCGAATATAGCCGAAATTAAATAGCTGCCGAAAATTTGTATATTTACAGTACGCTATTATGTCCACTAACACCACCAGTTACTAAACAATCTTTTCTATAAAGTAATCCTTGGCTCTCCATCCGAAAGAGAATTTAGTCAGATTAGGCGAGACCAACATAAAATCGAGATTCCCGGGGAGGACCCACGTGAAATTGGTGCGGGCGGGTGAATTTTATTCTTTATTTTTTTCCCATGTACATGTACATGTATGTGTATGACTACCGGTATATTATGTGTGTGCATGCCATGTTGAACTTTTTTTACAGCATTTTCCTTTTTTAAATTTTTGTTCAATTTTTTTACAGACAACAGGTACCATGGCCCGGGTACGCGGTTTACCCGTTAAAATTTTCTATATTTCGGCCAACGATGGCCCTGATCTGTACATCTGGGAGTCGTACAAGCTCGTGTTTGTGTGACTCCACGTCTCAGTTCTACTCACACGATCAGTACTGTACATAAATGAACTGTTCAAAAAAGTTTGGCTTTGGCTCGATTTTGGTGCGGGAGGGCCCGGGAATCTCTATTTTTTGGTCTCGCCTGAGTGAGATTGTTTTGATACACCTGCGTTTCCTATTAATTTTTGTCTTCTCCAGCTCAATATCCGATCGAGATTACATTGATACGGTGGCATGTCAACGGCACCACTCTGCTGCCAGTAGTTGGACAAGAATACTACGTACACGGCGATAGCGTGTCCGACAGCGGACGATACACGTGTACAGTCAGCTACAAGCTGACTATTCAGGATGGATGGTGAGGTCAACAGTATCATTATTATCCTTATTGACTGTGAGATAGAAAACAAGTCTAGACATCCTTTGTTGCGTACTGACCAAGTATAGCCGAATTGGATAGGACATGGGATATTCAAATCTCTGATGATGTCATCCTGGGTGAAAATTTGGAATCAATCGTTGTACATGTACTTCATGTTCTCTTTTCACTTTTCAGGCATTTGCCTGAAAAGTGAAAAGAGAACAAAATACTAACCCCACCTGGACTGGAACCTTGCTTGTCATGAGCAACCATTCGAGTAACGGTAAAAAAAGGAGAAGGACGAAATGTTACGAGTTTTGACTAACTGTCCACCAACGTAACCAGACCATATGCAGTCAGCGAGTGCGACAAAATGGCATGCAACTGACAAGGAGGACTGAGACATTCAGCCTGAAACTTAGCTCCAACACTTTTGTGCCATTTTGTCGCACTCGATGACTGTATAGGATCTGCTTACGTTGATGGAAAGTTAGTCATAACTCGTAACATTGTGTCCTTCTCTCTTATTACCGTAATTAAATTGGCTCACCGTCCGAGTTCAACTTTGCATATCTTAGTTATGGGACAGTTTTTTTGTTATTGATTCGAAGTTCTCCCAGTCCTTTCTAAAAATTAATCAGACTTTTAACATTTTGCCTTGGAAGAGACATTTACTTATCTTTAGTCATACCTATCCCCACTGCCAGGATCAACCGATATCAAATCTGTGCTCTACGTTGAGAGTGATAATCACGCACAGCAATACCATTCAGAGACAGTTCTGTGCTGGAATGGTGTTTCCTCCTGCAGGGCATTGAGCACATCCGCACATTTCCACGTCGATCTTATCATCGTCAGCTCGGCGGACGAGTTCAATCAAGTCCTGCGTCCCATGTTCAGCAATGCCCAGCTCCAGCCTCCACACGGACATCTCATGGCCAAGTCTGATGTTCAACTTCTCCAGGCACAGTCCAAGACATTTGACTGCTCCGCTTCGGCAAGAACCGTGGACCGGAATAAGACCATGTTTCGCATATCCTACAAGTAAGCCAATATGACCATAGACCAGAGTGCAGGTAGAGATCGGTTATATTATTATTATTATTATTATTATTATTATTATTATTATTATTATGAAATGACCCAAAGGCAATGTGCCTATCGAGGGGTTCATTTGATTGAAAGAACAGTAGATGTAGATGTATGTACAAAGAGAAGTAGGGATTGATGAGGAGAGAAATGGGGAAAATCAACTGCAAGGTGGCGGAATTCCGTTGATTGCATAAGCATAGTCAGCTGTAAATTTCCTGAGGGCAGCTTTGAACTTATAGAGCGAGGCTTCCGATGTTAGACTGGGGGGTAAACAGTTCCATAGAATAGCAGTTCGGAACATGAAGAGAGACTTAGAGAATGATTTAAATTTGGGAAGAATGATTTTATTTGGTCGTCGCTCACTATTCGTAATCTTGAAATGGAAATCAGCAAGGTAATCACGATGATGGAAAACATATCTGTGAAAAGTAGTGAGACTGAGGATTTGACGACGATAGGCTAGTGACTCTAGGGAGCATTTAGAATTTAAGACAGATTTGGAAGAAGTGTAATCAAATGCAATTTTTTTTATTGATAGCATTGGTGTTTGAGGAAGTGAGATTTGATCACTACAGACTATTATCACTCCAGATGTGGTTGGACAGGGTAGTACTTCAAAGTATGTACATGTAATTATTTCAAATGGTGAACGGCACTATTCGGCCAATAAAATTAAAAAAATGTAAAGAACTCTTCCTCTCCTCTCCTCCATGCGCTCTCACAGCCGACTCACTGCTACACTCGGTAGCCATTACACACACCAACCAAGGAAGGGTTGCAGGTAGGTAGATACTGAAATTTTCCTGACAGCTGTTTCGCCTTCATAAGGCTCATCAGAGCCACCTGATATCATCCTATTCAGTATCACCTTCTCTGATGAGCCTTATGAAGGCGAAACAGCTGTCAGGAGGAATTTCAGTATCTACCTACCTGCAACCCTTCCTTGGTTGGTGTGTGTAATGGCTACCGAGGGTAGCAGTGAGTCGGCTGTGAGAGCGCATGGAGGAGAGGAGAGGAAGAGTTCTTTACATTTTATTTTATGTACATGTAAGTGATAAATTTACAACTTAGTCATGATAGCATACAAAAACAGATGTGCATTATACATGTCCATATAAGTACCAAACCGAGACTAGTAAAGTAAAAAATAACAACAACCTGCATCTATTCTACCTGTATGGCCACACTGCTGGTAAAAAAAAGTAAATTATCGTGCCGGTCCGTTCCCGAAGGGAACTCACGGCGGCCGCTAACACCCGATAAACCCTAGCAGCAGATGCAGCGCCTAACGGTGAGGGTGAGTGTGAGTTTTCGGCACTTGTGCCAGTGGTTGTGAGACTTATCCACACTGCTGGTAGTACACAGCATAGCATTGTTTATGTTCACAATCTCAGTTTTTCAAATATTTCTGTAGGTACCACTAGTAACTATAAACGATCCAGAATGTATGCAATTGAGTGGTTTTGAAGTGGAGATTTGATCACAATAGGCGATATATTTCTATAGCCGATTATCCGTATAAACGCTTAAGTTTGAGTGGAAAAGATACTTTTGCTTTTGAACTTTGAAGCTGATAACATTATAACATTATAACCGCCACCTTAAACTGGTATATTATTATAACCACCAAACCAATAGGCGATCTATACCTGTATACGGATTAAAGACGCCACCCCCCACCCGACAAAACTTAAATTATGATAGTCTTTAATACACGCATCACAACGTACCTCGTGCTTGGTGTTATAATAATAATAATAATTATTATTATTATTTCACCGTTCAATGGCAGAAGCCAATGCAAAGGAGGGGGCGTTAGCCAGCCATGGCAAGAGAAGAAAAAAATGAAGGAAAGAAGATTATAATCGGAAGAAAATAATGCATCAGCGGGGTGAAATGTATCACTATGTTGACCATGGTGGAGAGCGGCGAGATAAGCTAGCAAAATAGGCGAGCGAGCCTACAACGTGGCATGACATTTAACATGGTCTATGAACTGTCTAATATTGGATATTGTCTTCATTTCCATGGGCAGCTTGAGCCAATACGAGTATGAAGAGAAGATAGGAGATTTCGTAAACATAGTTGACAAAGCTCTGGGAAGTACTATGCCATTGCGAGTGTCCCGTGTGAAAGTAAACCAATTAAATTTGGTGAGATGTTCAGGGACAATGTTCAGTTTAATACGATGGACCAGAACGCATGACTGTCTTTGCATAATGGTTCCTCTTCTTTCTTTTCTCGGAGTCTGCTTTCCTAGGATTGGACCGTACACAGCGTGTCCATGAGCCATGCGTGGTTGTATTCTCAGCTGTTCTTACGTCCGTGTTCACATGCAGGGTTTACCACGACGGAACCTTATTCTCTACCAGTCCGAAAGTCCTTCTAAACCCAGTAGAG